AATTTCATTTTTTCGTTTGAAAGCTTTTTGAACAGCCTTCATTAACGAATTTTCTATCTTGAAAACCTTGGTTTTATCTAGGTTTAAATCAAGTTTTGAAATCTTTTTTAAAAGATCCTGATGGATCATAAGATCTGCTGAATAACTAGCTTCATTTTCACATACGAAAACGTTTTCTTCGTCGCTAAACAACTGAATGGATTGAGTTTCCTCAATTTTCTCCCCCTGATTTAAACTCATGGCTCTGATACCAATAAACCCTAAATGGATAAAGTTTGTAATATTTATACCCTTAATGCGGAAGATTTTTATTAATAAAGTTTTTGCCCTAACAATAAACAATAAGGGAACGGAGAAGACATCGATTTTGATATCTAAGAGCAGTTAAACCACTTCTAATATTGCTTATACCTCGTATAAGACTTAATCTTTCCCAATAGGGAGTATATGGATCTCTTATTCTAAAATCCAGAAGATCTAACCGAATGGTAGATTCTTCAATTCTTCTATCAACTTCAGAGATTACACGATTTATCTCTTTATTGTAAGATTTTATAGGATCACCCATTTAACAACAAGATATAATCTTGCTTCTAAGTTGTAAAATATTTTCTTCTAAAATCTTTATAGAATTTGTTATAAAAGATTTTTGATTTATCAAGGATAACCTGTTAAGTCCTTGATTGTATGGATCAAAACGAAACTCGTAAAGTTGATTTTGAATAGTTTGTAAATTTATTTTTTTCAGCTTCAATATGAATTTCAAGTTCATGAATTTCATCTTGAATCTGTTGATTCCAATTTTTAATGTTGAAAGACATTAAATTCTTAAATTTTTATTTTGTTTGAAAAACTTATAAAATATTTTTGAAACAAGGAAAGATGTAAAAGCAAGAGGAAATACCTGTTGTAGAATAAGCCTTCGATTATCCTGCATAATCACGTTGAAATGCAGTTTTGTCAGCCTGTGGTTTATAGATCTTTTATTTTTCCTAACGGCCTTCTACCAAATCCCATGTATCATTATGATCGAGAGCATTCATCTCATCAATCATAGCATCCCGCTATTCGGGATGGGCCAAACTTCACCAACAGTTTTAGGAACAGATAAAGAATCAAGTGTAGAGATCAAAGAACGAGAACGTGAAGAAAGTTTATCATAGGAAACAACAAAATAAATGGGTAAGTACATGAGCGCTTACCTTTCCGAAGAGCAATGGGAACATCAAGAAGAACCTGTGTATCGGAAGGTGGTGGATCACTCGAAGGCAGAGGATCATCATTAGGCGGATCTACAGACGATGATGAAGATGGTGTTGGGTCGGGATCTGATGTAGGTCATTGCTGCCTATTATATACATGAACTATCGGTGGTTTAGTAGGCTCTTGGGTCTGTGTCGAGTCGAATGGGGTAGTAGACTCAGGAACATGTATGATATACACCAACAAATCATCACTATCTCTTGGGTTGCAAGGAGTGGACATAGGAAAGAAGGGTATATTCTCATGGAATGTAATGTCTCGTGATACAATGTATCGATTAAGCATGGGGGAAAACACTTATATACCCTTTTTGAAGTCAAAAGTAACCAAAAAAGACATATTTCACAGACTTTGAATCCAACTTCGTTATGTGAGGCCGGGTATCGCAGACAAAAGAGGAACTACCAAAGATCTTTGGGTCGACAGGAAACAATGATTTTGTAGGAAACAGAACTGAGAAAGGACTTTTACCATCCAAGACAGCGGAAGGCATTCGGTTGATAAGAAAACAAGCGGTAGCAGCCGCATCAGCCTAGATTACTTTAGGATCAGTCATGTTAAATAATAAAGCCCGAGCCACTTCTAGGAGATGATGATACTTTCGTTCCGCAACCCCATTTTAGGCTGGTGTGTCAAACAGGAAGACTCATGAAGAATGTCATTTTAAATCATACATGACCGAAATGTTTGGACAAATATTCTTTTGCATTATCACTACGAAGAGTTTGAATGGAGACTTTAAACCGGGTTTCAATCTCAGCATAGAGTGAACAAAAATGTGTGAATACCTCAAATCGATTTTTCATAAAGTAAAGCCAAGTATTGTGAGAGTAATCATCAACAAACGTAACAAAATACTTTAACCCAAGTTTTGAAGTAACAGGACATGATCCCCAAACATCAGAATGGACTAACTCAAATGGGGATGAGGCCCACTTATTACAGACTCTAGGACTTAAATGAATACGCTAATATTTGACAAACTGACAAGACTCACATTGTAGAGAAGGTAAATAAGAAAACTCAGGACACAACTTCTTCAGATCCTGTAAAGATGGATGACCTAATCGACAATGAACTTCAAGTGGAGACGATGAGCTGGAACAAGTCAATGAGGAAGGTACTTGATGTTCAAATATGTATAGGCCATCAGTCTCCCCCCCCCCTTCTACCAATAATCCTCTTCGTCAGACAGATCCTGAAAGACATATAAATCAGGAAAGAATGAGACACAACAATTTAAAGCACGGGTAATTTTGCTGACTGATAACAAATTGAACGGAAATTAGGTAGGCTGAATACGGAAGATTTCAAAACAGATGGGTTAAGATCGATGGTGCAAGATCCAAGGACAGGTGTGGTAGACCCTTCAGCAATTGTGACATGTGATGGGGATTTATGTTTATTGAAATCAGAGAAGATGGTAAGATTACTTGTCATGTAATCTGAAGCACCTAAATCAATGACCTATTTGGAGACGGAAGATAATAGGCAATGTACTAGAGTTACATGTCTCAACAAATGCAGCAGTTGGAGCAGTGGAATTCTCAGTCCCCAAAAGTCAAGCACATTCTTCTGCAAGTATAGTAACAGTACTATCTGAGGCAGAGGCAACGTGCGCTGATGAACTCCTCAGATCTCTGGCCAAAAGCTTCTTACATGTGCGCCTAACTCATGGCAGTAATAACACTCAACATTATTGGAATCTGGAATAATAGCCCATGAGTCAGTTGTTTGGTCACTGTGGCCACCTCTAGAGCCACCACAATGACCCTCACGAAATCCTCTTGGGTAGCCACCACAAAATCCCCCTAGACCAACTAGAAAACTGTTGTGATTAGAAGTTTGAGAAGCTTGAAGATTCTCATTCCTAAGAACACGGGCAAATGTTTCTTAAAGAGAAGGAATAGCAGATTCATTCAAGAACTGATATCTAATAGAGTCAAATTCTGGTCGCAAACCAGTCAAGAAACTGATAACAACCACTTGTTCCTTTGAGTCTGCATGGCTTTGACATCAGCACTTAATGGAAGAAGAGAGTTAAGCTCCTTATACACTTTCTTGAACTCCATGACATACGTAGTGAGTGATCGGTCCTGTTGTTCTCCATGATGAAAGGACTTACAAACACTATAGATTCAAGAGAGGTTACTTTGTCCAGAATACAAAAAATCAAGATAATCCATAAGTTCCTTCACATATTCACAGTGACTCAGAGACAAAACAGAAGGCTCAATAGTATTCATAATTTGCAAGTACAAACGAGCATCACTTTGGAACCATGAATCAGAACCGTTACCTTTAGGAGGATCCGATGTGAGATGAGAAGCCATTCCCATGCTCTGGAGATGCATACAAATAGTTTTTTCTCCACTCAAAGTAGTTGGAGCCATTAAGCTTGTTGTCGGTGATCTTAACATTTACTGGAAGCATCTCGGGTACACATAAACTACTGTTACTGTCAGATGTTTTGTCTTCTCCAGTCATCTTCCAATAAATCATGAACCAGAAGAGAGAACGTAGAACTTAGGACGAAGAATAGCAAACTAGAAAGCGAACGACACACTCATAGGGTGCCAAATAGCCGACGAACAGAGATGAGAGTAATCGCACTCACAGGGTGTCAAAGAAACCAACGAGCAGAAAACTTCCGACCCAAGGAAACTTGTCGATCAAGTAATAAAACAATGAACAAAAATTTCGATCTAAGTAAAAAAACGTACCAAAAAATTTTGATCCACGAAACTAGTGATTGTTACGAAACCGAGCTCTGATACCATGTAGAATTCTTTCTTTATTTCACTTGTCTCAAAAGAGGGAGGTAAAAGGGTATACACAAAGAATATGGGAAGAAAAGGAAAGGATTCGTAAGATATTTACAACAACAAATTACAAGGAGATATTACCCATAATCTCCAATTCCTATTTTACAATGATATCGAGTATCTTCAAGGATATTGAGTATCTTAACAACACACATCCATAAGCTAAATTACTTTCTCAGTTTGATAAGCCATAAAGCTACTTAGGTACCATTTTACCCATGCCGGACTTAAGTATGGTTCTGTCATAGTGGAAAAAATTTACATTCCAGAAGGGTGCTACCTTAATGTTTCGTCGTGCCCTACATTTCTTAAAACTAAACTCATGACAGAAGTTTATGATGGTTGAGTTGGTCTAGATTGCCAGATTAAGGTTTTTTGTTTGAAAAGGCATGTGTTCGAATTTCTGTTGTCGCGACTTTCAGGTTTTCACCTTTTATTTTCGATTTCTATACCTTTTGTTAAACGAAAAGGAGCAAAGCAGGTAGGGAGCCCTCCCTTGCAAAGTATAGAACTAATCTACCATGATTTTGTGAAAATTTTGTATAACTTTCACCCTTATGTTCAAATGGTATCATCGCTTGGAAATATTTCTGGGTCCACCACTGCGTTTTACCAAACGTGACTAGCTTATAAGCTAGCTTATCAACTAGTTCGCGTGTAGGTTGTACCTGGTAAGGTTGGAATAGCTTTTCATGTTTATATTTCTGGAGCAAAAGCAGTTAGTTCTTACCACAATTCTTGTAAAAATACTAAAACATTGCAGTTTGTTTTTTGAAAATTTCCGAAAAGATTAGCTACCTAATTTGTGTTACCAATCTACTTTTTTAGAACATTCAAGCACTTCAAGTAATTTGAACTAGGTTATCGTGAATTTCAACTTTGATGTCCGAATTTATGATTATGATTGCACAATTATACACCCACATCGAGACTTCCAAAATTCAAGCCCAAATCTTCCGGGGGAAATGAAGCTAGTAGAAGCAAAAACAAAATCGGGTTTATAGGATGCCAAAAATGTCTAATTGTCCTAATAGACTGTTGTATAGATGAAGTTAAAGATGCAGTTATAGCAGATAGTCTGCTTGGAGCAGAACTCTGACGATTCTGGGATGGATCTTGACGGTTGCAATTATGGAAACGCCAAAAGAGCAGAGGGAGAGTTGCAACACATCCAGAAGCATAACCGATAACCCATGTAAATAATGGAGCCTGAGGAAGTTCATGCCTCGATAAACATAAAACAACAATGGCCGCTATAATCTGGCTCACTGTTATAACTATCTCAGTAGATATCCAATACCCAGAATTCAATGGGTTCCTTCGACCATGCCCACTCTCCCTCCTACCAAATGATGTGTTCCTTGTATTTCCACCGTTGGAAATAGAAAAAGAATGTTGAAAGACTGGGGCCGTCATACTAGTTGAAGGCAGGTCTTGATTCAGCCTTGAGTTTGACTGATTGACTGTATCTTCGCTTGAGCTAGAGGAGGAAGCTCCACTGCTACTTGTGATATCAATAACATGTTCGCTTTCTGATTGCTCCATTACTGGCGGTACCTTGTTTGTTTTTAGTTTATGGTGTAGGCCCAATGTGGAAATGCCCATCTAAGCCCTCCAGCGAACCATAAAGTGGAAGAAACATGAGATAGTGATTTAAAAGAACTTCCAAGAACTGCACACCTTGGTCTTATGCAGTCACCCACCCAAAATCAACCGTCAAACACGAGCTAGCACAAGATGAGTATTCAGTTAGCCAAGATGCAGAATATGTTGGTCACAAGAATCATCTTAATTTTAATAGAGAAATCAACTACTGAATTGATTCTCTTCTCCACGAACATAGATTTATCAGGTAACAGCCAACAGCTAACTTTTTCAGCTAACAAAAACATCTTAATTTCAACATGTTCCTTTAGGTCAATTCCATTAACATCTAGCTTATCAGCTAGTTTTTACCAAATGTAACTAGTTTATCAACTAACAGTTAGTTTTCAGCTAACAACTGGTTTGCCAAACATAGTCCCTAGTCTACACAAGTTATACATTGTTTTGCTATTAAAGGTGGTGTTCTGGAACATCTTCAAGATATACATGATTATCGACTAATGCAAAATAATGAACAGGAACAATATGAAAGAAGCTTATCATACAAATATAAATGCAACATCTAATAACTCAAATTTTCAGATCCTCGTATTTCTTTCATTTCCCAACATTTCCAAGGAAACTGGGGTGGCGTTTGGTTTGTTGGATTACGACATAATCTAAAGGAATTGGAATGTTAATTCCAGTCATGTGTTTGGGTCATTCTTTGGGGTTTGCTACATAATTCAAATTCTTTGAGGTTTGCAGCAAATTTAAAAACCATTCCATCATACTTTTGAGAAAGAAAATCCTACCCATCTATTTGCCTAATCCACTCGTCGCTCTCATTCTCGATTTTGATTTTAAAAAGACAAAAATAACCTTTAATCCAATTTAACCAACACCGCCACTAGTTCACCACCCCATCTACACCACCTGCCATCGCTGTCCTCACCAGTGCCACAATTTCGCCATCGGTGCCGCCCCCGCCACCGTCATTGGCACCAGGTCATCACCACCGCCGCCACCGCCACCACCAACGAGTCTCGTGATTGGAATGAGTACAATGTAAATCCCTTAATGCGGCGGTCACTACAAAACCTTGGGCGCGATCCCGGGCGGACCTCCAATTAATAATTATTATTAATAATCCATTATGTAGTAATTTGTAATTTAAGCAAGAAAGTGTGAAAATGTCATAAAAGGGATATCTTGGTGTTTACCATTATTTCATTACAATTTCAAAACTATATTTTGCGAGTCAGAATCCAATCCTTTTGACAAATTCCGTTGTAAAATCCCTGTCAGCCAAACACACGGTATTACCTGATTGAATTTCATTCCAATTCCTTTGACAAATTCCAATTCCGACAGATTCCATCTATGAACCAAACGCCACCTAAAGGATGAAATGATATTCTTGTAACATTTTCTTGATCAAAGCTTCGGAGCATGAACATTTTTTTCACATACGCTCAAGTTCCAAGTACTACAGTCAGCTCAAACCCCATGAAACACAGCTGATCATCAATTATATACTAAAATCTAGTGAAGAAAACTTGAAATCATTTATCGTTGAAGAAAAATGTTGGTTTAGGAGATAAAAGTTGTAGATTAGCCTTTTATCTTTTTTATTATTATTATCTTATCCTTCTCTCTAGAGTTTTAGTTTCCGAACAATAAAGAAAACGTGGGTTTGTGAGATAAAGATGTAGATTAGCCTTAATTTTTTTATTAGCTTTATCCTTTTATTAGCTTCATCTTTATCGCAGTTTCTAGAGTTTCAGTTTCCTAACAATAAAAAACTTTATGTATTTAAACCGTACCTTGTAAATTTCTAAGGTGATGAAAAATAATTATGATTTTTTCAAAAGATCACATGGAATCAGAGCAGGGATAAACACCTTAGCTCATTAGAAACCCAACGGGTGCATTGTTCATCTTTGACGTCTATAGTTCACTGTCTATTGTCGTCGGACTTCAACGGGACGATTGACAATTTTTTTGCTAGTCTTCTTCCATCATTGACCATTTCTGGTTGCTGCTGCCATCTTTTAACACATCCTAGCTGCCACTGCTACCTATCTTTGTTGCTGCTACTTATCGTTGTTGCTGCTTTTTGTCTTCTTTTTGGCGTCTCACTTAAACAAGTTTGCCCAGCCTCAATCAAGTTTCCCAGGCCTTCCAGTATCACCGTCAATCGTCTTGACAGCCATCAATCTTTGTGTTGTCAATTCTAGATATTGTTTTTAAATTCGTTGACATGACTAAATACGGGAATGCATCCCAAGAATTCAAACCAAACAACAGGTCTAGTTCCACTACCATCGGCGAACCAAATTCTGCAGGTACCTCATCAACTAATAGGTCTTTCTTCAGCAAGGAACATTTTGAGCAATTGTACCGACTATGGAACTCTCATTAGAATACAAACTCTCATAAAAATACCACCAGATCTTCTTGTGGCCCAAACAGGTACCTACACGATAGCTTTTTAGTAATCATGTAAAAAAATAACCCTTGGTTCATAAATTCAGGGGCTTCTGATTATATGACTGGGTCCTTTCCTTCTACAACTTTACCTCATATTTCCCTTGTTCCGGTAGCCAAAAAGTCAAATTTGCAAATGGATCTCTCTTGGCCATCATAGGAAAAGGTTCAATTGTTTTATCTCACCATCCATTATGCTTCATAAAGTTCTCCATGTTTCGAACCTTGCATGCAACTTACTTTTGGTCACTCGTCTAACCAATGATGCTCGGTGTCAAGGAATCCTTGCATCTATTGGTTGTACCTTTCAAGATTTACGATTGAGGACGACAATTGGCACTGCTAAGGAAAGTGGCAGACTTTACTATCTCAACACAAATACCTCTTCAAGTAAACCAATTGAACATCCTCAGTACACTAGTTTTCTATCTCTATCAGATCACATAATGTTATGGCACTTTAAATAACATCATCCTAGTTTTGGATATTTAAACCATTTGTTTCCTGCATTATTTAAGAATAAAACCATTTATTCTTTGCAAGGAGAAAGTTGTCAATTGGCTAACATAAAAGGTCTATATTTCCTAGCATACCTGTCAAACCTTCAAAAGCTTTTTCTCTTATAAATGGTAACATATGGGACATCTCGCGTAAAGGATATCTCTAGCACTAGATGGTTTATCACCTTTATTGAGATCATGCTAGGAATACATGGATTTATTTTGTTGAAAGAAAAATATGAGGCTGCAGATATTTTCAAAAGTTCTAATACTATGATAATAACCCAAACCCAGGTTCTTTGCACTAATAATGGTAAGGACCATTTTAGATAGCATATTAGGACTATTCCTTATAGAATAAGGCATTGTCCATTATAGTTCTTGTTTGGATACACCTCTAACAAAATGAAATTGCCAAAAGGAAAAATAGACACCTACTTGAAGTTGCCCGACCCTTAATGTTTTCTATGCATGTTCCAATAAGATTTAGGGGAGAGGCTATATTCACTGTTTGCTATCTAATTAATAGAAAGGCAAGCAAAGTTTTAAATTACCAAACCCCCATTCAAACTCTTCAGTCATTATTTCCTGACAATAGAAGTTTGTAGCAATTTACCTCTTCTGGTATTATTGTCTTTGTTCACATTCATGATCACAGAAGAACTTAACTTGATCCTATTACCCTAAAGCTACCAAATGCCTGTTTTTAAAATACTCACCAACTCTAACAGGTTATAAATGTTTTGACCCTACCTCAGGTGCAATTCTTGTTAGTATGGATGTCACAATTTTTGAAGATAAACCTTTTTCTGAGAAAACTTATCTTCAACGAGAAATGTATGTGAAGCAGTTTTGGGAAAGTCATGTGATGCCTAGCCAAATTTCTGGAACTACAGATGATCAAGAAAGTTATGTTATACCTAACCCTATTTTTTGAACTACAATTAATCAAGAAAAAGTTGGTGATAGTTCGCAAAAAAATGAGTTGAATCAAACGGGAAATTCTAATGATGAATTTGCTAATGACAAAGTTTCTACTCCTAAAGATCCAAAAACTATTGTGACTGAAGCTCCAACGTGTGAAATTTGGGTTAACTCAAGAAGAAAAAAAGGGAAGGTACCGAACCTCCTCAAGACCAAACAATGCCTTCATTTGACCCGAGCCACAGACAGTGTCTCTCTAATTCCTTTTGACATTGAAAAACAAAATGAGTCGGCCCATACATAACCCCAAGCGTCTATTGTGTTGATTCAGAATTATCTTGATGAGCCTATAGCACTCAGAAAAGGGGTAAGAATATGTACCAAACACCCTTTGTCACTCTGTGTTTGGTACAACAAATTACCTCCTAGCTTTAGAGGCTTTACTAGAAGTATAACTAATGATGAGACTCCTAGTTCTATACAAGAAGCTCTCAAAGTTTCAAAGTGGAGAGAGGTTGTATTAGAAAATTGAGGGCATTAAAGAAATATGAGTCTTGGGAGCTAACCACAACCACCTTAACCAAAGAAAACGTATTGTTGATGGCAAATCGATATTCATCGTCGAGTAAAAATCAGATCAACGAGAAGAAAGATATAAAGCCAGACTTGTAGCCAAGGGGTTCACCCAAACGTCTGGTCTGGTTTATGAAGAGACATTTTCCCGAGTTGCAACACATAATGCAATTCATGTATTTATGTCATTGGTTGCTCACTTAGATTGGCCTTAGTTGCAATTTGATGTAAGAAAACATTTCTAAATGGTGACTTAGAGGAAGAGGTATTTATACAAATATCCCCAGGATTTGACAACGACAGAACGAATGAAGAGTGTGTAGGTTGAAGAATGCAAGGACTCAAACAGTCCCACAGGCTTGGTCCAAAAGATTCACAAGCACCATGAAAGACCATAACTTCAAACAAGCTCATTCAGACCAAACGATGTTCTAAAAACATTCATCAGGGGTAAATTGGCTGCCTTAATTGTATATGTTGATGAGATTGTCATGATAGGAAATAATGAGGCAGAATTAGCCGATTTAGCTCAACAATTCATAATAAAAGACTCTGAAAGTCTAACGTATTTTTTGGGAATGGAAGTGGCAAGGTCATCAAAATGTATTGTTATCTCTCAAAGAAAGTATGTGTTGGATATTCTCAAGGAAACAGGTCTACTTGGTTGCCAACCATGTTAATCCAAATAAAAAGAAAGAAAATGATATCCCTGCAAACAAAACCAAGATATTAAAAGCTAGTTGGGAAGTTGATATATATCTTGCTCAAACTCTTTGTGACATTGCCTATGCAGTAGGACTAGTAAGTTAGTCCATGAATAGTCCCTCGGAATATCATCTCAAGGCAATATACATGATCCTTCACTACCTCAAAGGGAGCCCAAACAAAGGAATTCTCTTCTCTAAAAATCAGAATGCGGGTAGAAGTTTTTACAGGTTCTGGTTGGGGAGGATGTGCGAAAGATGGAAGAACTACATCCTATTATAGTTCTGTTTGGTGAATTTAGTAACATGGAGAAGAAGCAGAAAGTTGTAGTTCAAAGCAGTGGTGTAGCATAATTCAAGGCTATGGCTGAATGAATATAAGTAAGCTATGTGGCTAAAGGCATTCTGAAAGAATTAAAAATTGAAATAAACAACCCAATGAAGTTGTTGTGTGACAATAAGCCTGCTATTAGTATTGCTCAATATCTAGTTCAACATGATTGGGCAAAAGATGTTGAAATTGATCGTCACTTTATCAAAAAAAAATATGTATGCCCTTTGTTAGGAGATGTTCTAACCAAATGTCAATTCAAAAAGATGTTTGAATCTCTCATAAGCAAGTTGGGCATGATTGTCATCTTTGCTCTCACTTGAGGGAGTTTCTAAGGTGATGAGAAAGAATTCTGATTTCTCAAAAGATTATATTTATCAATTCCATTAATTAATGTACACCAAAATTCACATGTCACACAAAATTACTTCAGTTGCCGGTTGAATAATCAGCTAATGGTAACTTGGTCACCAAGTTAATACAAATTAGTGAACAAACTTTTGAAACAAATATCAAATCTATAAAAATGGACAGTAAAGCTGGGAAGCAAGTCGAAATAAGTCAAGTAAGTTCACCATATATGAAGAACTTCCATAGACAAATCAACCGATTCCTCGCAGCTAGTTGATTCTAACACTATATATACCCATACTAACGACAAAATAAACCTCAAGAGTCGACAATCGGATCCAATTCTAACAAAAGAAGAGCAGTGTAATCGAGAATTCATTGCCCATGAACTGATTTTTAACAATATATGATTAAAGCATAAGAATTAACGCCGAAGGATAGAGAACTTACAAGTACAAAACCGAAGAAATTTGGAGGGCTGGTTAAACTTTTTTTTGTTTTCAAGCGCTTTATCACTTGTTCTGATCTTTCATGTTTTGATTTGGGCTATGGATATTCCCAAGATTGTACAGTAGTGTGATTGTTGGAGTCACAATCGACATCTACGTTTTGGGTGGACCATCCGAAAGAAATTCAATCAATGGTAGTTTTTAAATTCGGAGAATTTTAGTTTTCTTATTTTGAAGAAAGTTTTGAAGAATTTGTTGAAATAAAAACTCTTAAATCTTTATTTTAAAGAATTTGCTAAAAATGCTATGATATAATGTATGATTTAATATAAAAGGCACTTAGGTTAAAAAGAGCAACATAGCTCATATATTGATATATGATACGTGTGTATAATAGCGAGGTCTAGATCATTTTATATAGTGAAATAGTTGAGCCAAAACATAATAAACATTGAGAGTTATATAACCATGTTTCTCCCATACCTGAATTATGTCATTATGGTGTTAAATATGACATTCAATACCGTTAAATTATGAGTTACAACACTCCCATTTTGGTATCGTGATTTACACCAAATCACATTTGTAATTTTATATCTTGTATCTTCAGACAATCCATCAAACATTCGACTCATCAAAATCTTGTCGGAGAAAACCTTTGGGACAAAACCCTGGAAGGAAAAAGAGTATGATCTAGATGTCAAAAGCTCTTCATGCAATGAGATAATTGTATGAGTCGAAACACTATACAAGTGTATGAATCAATTGACTAGGAATATATGTCTAATTAAAACCTTGCCAAGAAAACTCGGTGGGAAAAATTTAGCCGAAGGACAAAAGAGTACACAAGGTTAGTAGTAGTGTGCCTCATTAGAACCTTGTTAGACAAAACCCAATGGGAAAAAACTTTAAATTGAAGGATAAAATAATGCACAATGGTTAGAAGTATGCTACTAGATACTCCCCTTAATTTCGGTAATACTTTGTGAGAAGGGAATCAAATTTGTGTCTCGTTAAAAAGAACTTTGTCAAGGTAAACCCAGTGGGACAAACCCTTGAACTAAAGATAAAAAGAGCACACTAGCATTCAACAGGATGCTCCCCCTCACATGCATACTATATGATGTCAAGTATATGTGAAGATTCACACAACATGGTGCTAAGCATACCCCAAGATGGAATCCTCACTTGCACACAACATGGTGCATGATATATGCCATTTAAAGTAGCTTAAAGAGTTTCCTAAGTTCAACTGCTTTGACGTGTTTTTGGAATGAATACTTTGGCATTGACTTGGTGAGCAAGTTTGCATGATTTTTTTTTTCGTACTTCAATTTCTTGAAGTGCTTGTTGTTCATGTGCAAAAAGCAACTTTAGGGAGATGTGTTTAGTGGTATTTCCTTTAATGTAACCATGTTTCTCTTGATCAATAACATTAATGTTATCCTCATAAATGACAACTGGGGTATCTGCACTCGATGACGTGTAGGGATAAAAGAAACCCATATACATAGTATCCTTAAGGTAACATAAAGTGTCTTTGATGCCATTCCAGTGGCGGGTGTTGGCACGTTGATACGTCAAGCAAGACAATTTACAATAAACAAGATGTTCGGTCTACTATATTGGGCCACACACAATAATGAGCATACTGCACCCATATATGAATACTCAGGGCTTAATATTTCTTTATCGTCTTTTTTTGGATGAAATGGATCCTTCTTAATAGCTGGAGAACGGACAATCATGAGAGTAGATGATGACTTCACGTAAATGATGGCTAAAGCATCTCAACACCTTTTTGGTGCAGTTTTCTTGATGGATTAAAATCTCATCTCTATGGTGCTCGATCTATAGGCTGAGGCAATATTGTATCTTCCCAAGATCCTTTATCTTTAATTCCTTCTTCAGGATTTCAGTAGTTTCCAACAACTCTTTCAAGGTTCCTATGAAATTCATATCACACATCGACTACGATAATCGTGTATCTTGAAGTGAATTTCTTTATGAGCACGCATGGGCATAGTTCATTATTCAAATATCCTAGGCCAATCAAGTATTCACTTAGACGATTATACCACATCTGTTCGGATTGTTTCAATCCATATGGTGATTGTCTCAGTCTAATCGAGAATGTGTTTCGTGGTCGGGAACTACTTCATTTAGGCAACTTAAGTCCATCAAGGACTCTTATGTATATCTTTGTTTCTAGATCCCCATAGAGATAGGTTGTAACCACATCCATGAGCTGCATGTTCAAGTTTTCAGAAACTACTAAACTGATTATGTAGAAAAATGTCATAACATCCATTACGCGAGATAACATCTCCTTGTAGTTAATTCCAGGGAGTTGAGAGAAGCCTTGCATCACAAGGTGAGCTTCGTATATCACAATTTCATTATTCTCATTACGCTTCCATACAAAAACCCATTTATGACCAATTGGTTTTAGGGTGGTGTTGAAGCAACAGGTCTGAACATTCTTCTTTTCGTTAAGGAATCTAATTCATCATGGATTGCTTGTTTCCATTGAGGCTAGTTCGTTCTACGTTGATACTCAACAACAGTACGTGGTTCCATATCGCCATTGCTCATAATGTCAGTAACTATTGCCTATTTGAACACATCATTGATGATAGTCTCCTTTCGCTTCAAATTGTTGTCTAAGCTAGCATACTTGACAGATATTTCGAGGTTTTTTGGGATGATGAGAAATTGGTTTTTCTTCATTAACATGCATCCTCTAATATATCACTATGATCTTTAATTGTATTGTGTGGCAAAAAGGATGTAACAAGATTTCTCTTCCTCCGAGGTAGAACATCCTTGGAACGGACCGGTCTTTCTCTTTTCTTGAAAGAGCAGCGGACTGGACGATCGACTATATCTTTCTTTGCATGGTTGGTATGACTGATGCAACATGTTCAATAGGAACATGACGTCTCATAGGGACGTCTATCCTTTGAGACACATTTACAGCAGGTATATGTGATCTCGTGACATTTGCTAAGTCATTAAATGCTTCTGGTAACTGATTAGCAACATTTTTTAGACACAAGATTCACTACACTTCCTTATCACTATATGCATTAGGGGATCCATATGAGAAAAAGTGGGTACATGTCATGTTAGTTCACGTCATTCCTTATCAACGTTAACGTGCAAACCTCCCCCTAACAACAGGAAGATTGTCTCATCAAAGTTACAATTCGCATGTCTAGAGATCCCCTGTCAAGGGCTCTAAATAGCGAATTATAGACGGTATTGGTAACTTTAAATTTTAGAGTTATTACATACCCTTTATTTTGCAATTCTTTTATCAATCTTAGCCATTTGCTTCTTAAACACCCATTTTTGGTCTAATTTTCACTATTAAATAGACAGTGTCTACTATAGTATTTTTGAACAAATTTTCTTTATTTTATGCTGCTTTCCGAAAACGTCATTTTTGATATTATTCTTACACCACTTTCCAAGTAGCTTTCTCTTATATCCAAGTGAATTAGGCATATTTTAACAGTTTTTTTTTTGAGTTCTGACAGGAATCAATCTTAGAGCAAGAGTCGAGGAAAACCAAGTTTTTGATACCTTTCATGGAGCTTTTTCGAGTAAAATGGATCTATTGTGGAACTCAATATGGTTTGTTAAGGAAGTTAAAGCTGGAATCATCATCAAAAAGTAGGTAAACAGTTAGTTACTTCACCTATCCCGCGAGATGAGGTCACGAGTCTTTAATGACACGAGCGACCAATCTCGCGACCTAAGTCATGGAAAAGGTCGTGAGACTACCTATTTTGATCAAAAAGGTTATCCAACTAAGGTTAGTTGTAGGAGGCTACACACAATATTTTCGAGGGAGGCTGTTGTTAGGTATTTTTAGATATATTTGGGCAATTTTGGAGCTGAAAAACACGGAGAGTAACATCAAGATTAAAGATCTGATGCGATATTCATTGATTGTTGGTGGAGATTCATCATCAAAAGTGGGTTTTAATTGTGTTTTAGATATTAGTTGAGAACATGTCTAAACCTTTGAAGTGTTCCATTTTGTACTTTGTTTCTATCCCTCCAAAATGAACTAATCCTTCAGATGGTAGGGGTTGGATCACTTTTGCATCGTAATCATATGAACACGTACCTTGTGATTTTTATTAGATCTTTCAATAAATGAATCATATGAATTTGTGTTTAATGCTTTTGTGAGTCTGATGAACTTACACTTGATCAAATTGTTATAAATTATTCTCGAGATAATTAGCTTATAAATAGACTTATGATTCATATGCCTAAGGTGAAAACTTGGATGGAAATATACCAATTAAACCTTAGTACTATTTTACAATCTTGTTAGTTAATGAATTCTTGAAATCATATATTGAAATCGAGAGATAAAATATACTATATTCAAGGGAATTTTTGTTATAACTCGAGAGAGAGTAATACTGAACTTCGTGATTGTGTATTCATTATTGAGAACTAGAAGGATACTCACCTAATACGGCGAGATACATCTTGATTTTAATGTCCCGTTTTAATCATTGTCTCTATCAATGTTATAATACGATTTTATGTAGTTTTGAGAAAACAATAATGTATTTATTTTTGAATAAAATATAAATTTAAAGATACTATAAAATTGTGAAAAGATATATCAATATGTTAGATCCCATAGTGCAAAATGTAAAAAGTAATGAAAAACAATAAGTGATGAAGAACCAGAAGACCGATGAAGAGATCAAGACAGAAAAGACTAAGTCTGAATCGATGGAAAGACTAACCAGAGCATCGATRGAAAGACCAACCATCGAACCGATGGACCAAGTACAACCAGCGGATCGATGGATGATGCGATGGAAAGTGTATTCAYTGATGCGATGRACAGACTAACACTTAGAAGATTTTCTAAGTATTCATCCAAGCGTGCAATGAAGATTTAAAGATAAGAATGAAATCATCACATCAATAATGACAGCTGGAGATGACGCATCAACAGCTAGATTTATAGTTTATCTTTTAAACAATGATTATCCATGTAAAAGATAAACATTATCTATTAGCTAGAATAT